ATAATCATGTCTTGTGATTATTTGACAGAAGTTTTACTTTTAAACTGTAAGTGTATTTAATTTAGTTATATTAGTTATGATATTTTAGTTATGATGTAAATACAATTAAAAATTAAACCAAGATTTAGAATACAGTAATTATCATTTTGATCCACACATTGGTAATGTCTGACTGGGCCTCGTGTCACTTTATGTTCAACAAATTGGGCCCCGAGGTCGAAAAGGTTAAGAACCCCTGTGTTAGACAACATGAAGGAGCGAAGATGGCACCCAAACAGGGCAACAGCTCTCAGCCAATAAAGCAACTGTCTGAATAACAACAACTGGATCTGTGTCACAAATTATCTGTAATGGTTTTACAATAAATTTATATAATTATTAATTATTAATTCAATACTCATGTAAAACATCTATGATGAAAATATATCAAGCAAGTAAAGATGATCTAAACTGGAACAGATTTCAGTCAATAGCTTAAATGTTTTAGCTAGTTGAATATTTATGACTTCAACTAGTATAAAGTGTATTTATTATTTACCTGTTATGTAGTCGACACAAATGTTTACTGCCTGACCGGTGAAATATGAAGGATAAAACTTGTCTTCTGATATTGGCTAATCTTCTCAACAGGTAATATTTGTCTAATAGAAACCCAAAAGTAGACAAATGTATAATATTATTTTACACAGTGTGAATATTACATAAACCAGAGGCAAATCCACCTTGTAATATTTATTATTTTGTGGTAAATTGTAGCATGATTCAGCAGAGTGCTCCTGGATAGCCAGGCTGTAAAGGAGTTCCCAGTTGTTTGTTTGTCCTCGCAGCTGTTTCTTAGGTGGTTCTTCAAACGACGCAAACAAAAAAGTTGTGTTTTGTGAGAAAAATTCCACACAAACCACATGTTAAAAATGTTAACTTAGATGAAAAAGAAATAAATAATCTGTGACTTTTCCAGGGGGAGCTGTAGCACCCCCTAGCTAAGCCCCGAGGCCGCCACTGGYTGGGGAATACTGAAGTTTATTGATGAGGGGTCCAAAACAAAGGCAAGAATTTTAAAGACAAGTTTTAAAATGTAAACTAATCTGATAAAATTATAGCACGGTAATGATTTAATAATCGGCAAAAAAATTGTTTCATAAAATTTTTTATTTCTTCTCAAAAAACAAAGAAACAACGGGGCTCAGATACATCTATCGCCATTATTAGCACCTCTAATGTTTTGCACTCAGACAATAATTTGGAAGAAAAAAGGCTGTTTTGTTTAGTGTGGTGATAGCCTGGCTCTTGCCTTCCTACGCAGTTCCGCTCAGTTCTAGTTTCCCTTCACTGCTCCTTGTGAATAGCTCCCAAAGCGAATAACAAGGGGCTGGTTTTAACGAGGCTAGTACGGTAATGGCTAAAAGGTTGGAAGAAAGACTGTGTGCCCACATTTGATCTGTGGCTAGGGGAACTGGCAAACATGCTACACCTGAAAAGACTGATGTTTTACAACAAAGACAGAGTCAGTATGGGATCCTGTACTGAAATTTCTTCAATTAAAAAAATAAATAAAAACTGCGAACAACCAACTTGCTAATGTTTAGTAATATAACAGCCCTTTCTCTTTTGTATAATCGGACAAAGATCAGCTTGTGAAATGTATCCAGCGTTGTCTTGACTGTRTAGCTGATATTTTTTTGATGTGCTGTTTTTTTGTGCGGGTGAGGGAGGGAAGGGAAGTTGCTTTATGTCGTTGAAGTTTATTAACAAAACAAGTAAAAGATAAGTGTTTTAGAGCTACAATGTGTAAAAGGAAATGTAAGGAAAATGRTGATTTCTGTGACCAGAAAACATTTGTGGTACATTTGTTTTGATAAAATTACATTAAACATTCAAACAAAAGGCAACAAAACACTTTTCTATGTAATAAATTTAATGTGATAATCAGGATTGCAATGTGATTTAGTGCTTTTTTATCTTCTATTTTATTAAGAATAATGAATAAAATATGCAAAATAAAAACTTTATTCGTTAAGAAATGACCTTTTTACCGCTGCTTCTAACGTGGTTAATATTTAATGTTAGTTCGTTTTGTTTAGATCACAACATGAGAAAGAAGTTTTATACATCATCGWATTTAGTTTGCTTGAAATATTGCTACAAAATGTAAAACTAAAAGGTAGTTTATGATTTTGGAGTCATAATTCGTGATTATTACAAAGACGTCCAGTTTTTGCACCAAAACCTTCAAACAAAACATACATGCCTAAAATGTTTGACTATAGGAGGTTCAAAGCAGTTTTATCATATTGTGCCATATTGTCTTGTATAGTTTTGTAAAAGTGATCACTCATAATATGGTGTTATAATTACAACTAGTTTAAATTAATTTAATAGTTTTTTTAATTTGGTTAATTGTAAATACTTTGTACCTCATTATGATTAAATTATTGTCATTTTTCCAACAAACAGCAGTTTTCTTRTAGGTTTATAACCTTTAAACTGTAGAATCTCAGTGTATATAGCTTTATGTACTGCGTGTTCTTTTTTAGGAATTTCTTTGGTCGGTAAGTTAAATAACTCAAACTGACCTAGTATCTCATCTTATTACCACATTGTACTGTAAAGTGCTGCAGAAATTTTTTTAATATTTTGACTCTGTCACACCTCCGGTTCTGAAATGAGTTTTTCGTCGGGTAAGAGACGAATCGTTCTGTTTGAATGGAAACTTTAACTTTCTGTCTCGCTCATGTCTCTAACCACAAGTCCTTGTTTCCATAATGACTCTTGTTTTATTCTTGAGAAACATTTATATTGAAAATATTCATTTAAAATAAAAACAGAGAACAGTTTTTTTCTTAGTTTTGTCTCAGTTTTTTATGGTTTCTTCACACTTTATGTAACGAATGAAGATATTGGTCCATGTGCTGAACAGAACACTCTGTTGAACAATTTGAACATTAGTTTAATRCAGTTATTGGTTTTGACATAAAGATAAGATGATGATGACTATGATTTTAATGATTGTTTCATGATTTTTCTTGCTCCTTAAGGTGATGTATTTAGATCAACTCTTAAYGCAGAACTTGTATTTCCTAGTGATTTCATGTATGCTCAAAAGAAAAAAAGGAATTTAGTCCTTAAAAAGCTTTCTGACCCTAAGAGACTAAAATGCACCACAGTTCTTCGTAAAACAATAACTGGTTTTGTTGTTCTTTCTTTCCCACAGCACTGTTTTCTTGGATGGTGAAATCGTGGACTGGGTGGGCTGGTGCGTCGATGATGAGGACCTCCTGACACACATGAGCCCTACAGGCCCAGGACTTTCAGAGGGGATTAACCCCAGATGGAATGTCCAGGAATGTCACGACGACGGGGAATATAGTCAGGTGTAGCTTTACAGGAACTGAGCTGAATCTGAAATCTTAAGCAAACTGTTGGCTCAAAATCGCAGATCCACAAACCAAAAAAATTAATTAATTAATCAATTAAATTTAATTTAAAAACACATTTTTCGAAAAATCTAAGGAACAGAAAAGTTGTAAATAAACCTTTGCAAACATGGTAAACACTTTTTTACACACAAATATTAAAAAATGTCTTCAGTGTAATTTATGTAAAGTAATGTAATATAGATTTACTATATGTGGCCAATGTTATTTTTACATTAGTTTYCATTTTATTTATGTTAATAATTTGTTTTTTGTTCAGTGGTTTAATTTTATTTTACACAGGAAATAAAGCCATGATTTCTGTTATGTGCACTTTATTTTTGAAACGTTTTGAAATAAACCTTTAAATGGTACAATTAGGAATATTTACAGATAATATAAAGCATATTTACAGTTTGAACTCTTCCATAGTTTGAACAGTTTCTGCTACAAAAGTCTGCTCTGAGATTATTTACAAAAATCTGTGCAAATACAAGCATCCCAATTTATGGCAGGCAGTGAAAACTTTCAGTTTGATTTAGCATTTGTGATTTTAATTTTTCTTTTTTTCTTTTACTTCTTTACTCGGCTCCTTTCTTTCTCATCACGCTCATTGGAGACGTTGTGAATGATGGTCTCCAGAGCAGGATACTGTAATATTCTTTTCCTCTGTGGAGAAAAAGAAACAGAATTAATGATAGAAAAGCTTTAAAAAACACTTAACTGGAAGATCTTGTTTATTTTTGTCTAAAAATGTGAATGAAAACGACTCAAACATCCTATAAAGCTGAGTACGAGTAAAGAACTGCAGTTTCTTACCCTTTGGTGATTTTTGTACATCTGAGTGAGAAACAGCRTCAGAATGATGAGGAGAAAACTGAGTCCGATCACAGTACCCATGTTTCCTGAGACGCCTGAGCTTTCTCCACTTAGACCACCTGAAAAATCAAAAAGCAGCAGAAACAGTCACAAATCAGTCCTAATAWTATTTGTGTTTTAATATTCTAAACTTAAAATCTTACAGAACTTACTCATTATCTGAACCTGGGTCGTCACGTTCCCAAAAATTCCTTCTTTCCCAAAGTAACGACACGTCCATTCACCCCAGTCTTCCTTCAGGGTAAGGTTCGGTCCCTTCACGACGGGCCCCTCGGTCATCGTGCCGTTGAGGTCATAGGTCACGTGGACCCACTCGTACTCCGTTACTTCGCTTGCGTCTGTCAGATGGCAGGTCAACGCCACAGAGTCTTTCTTCGTTGACTGAACAACTGAGGGGATAACATTGATTTTTAGTAAAAAAAAAAAAAAGTCAACTTTTCTTTAAACCAAGTTGATATAAACGTACTTTTCGCGACGACGAGCTGCATTGTTCGATTCAGACTGTGTCCTCTCACTGTTACTGCACATCTGTACTGGCCCTGATCCTCCATCGTGACTTCCTGGATCATAAAGGACTTATCTAAAGATCTYGGACGGACAAACTTGTTGGTGAGAGGGAGACGTTCCGGACCATCTGTCTTCTCTAAAGTCATCTTTGTAAAAGCTAATCCAGGAGATAACACGCATGGGAGAGTGACTGCAGACCCCACCGCAGCGTAAAGTTTGACATTGTTTTTAGGCGGTTGGCTGATTCCTGCGGGGACAAATGAAAAAAAAATTAATTAAAATCTTTAAAGCAAGAACTACACCTCTTAACCTGACTCACTCTTCCAGCTCAGAGTCTCACCTCGCACAGACAACCTCGCAGAGACTCGCCATTCTTTCTGAGCTCTAAGGACACAGGTCCAGTTCCCTGCTAACTTCTCAGTCGCCCTCTCTTCCACGATACTTTTCTGTTTGGTTATGATTGATCCGGTCTTGGGCCAATATGTCTTATTGTTCAGGAGCCACTTCACRTAAGCCTCATTAGGCCAAGGAGTCACGGAGCAAGTGACTGACACAAAGTCCCCCCACATGGGCGCCGGTGGAGAGATGGTCACTAAGGAAGGCAAGAAAAGATGAGATTCATCCTGTTAATTTACAATAATCTAGTATTTTACTATTGTGATGTAAAGGAGCTTTGTAGTTCTTTCTGTTTTAAGGGTTGTTGTCTTACCCTGAATAATCCGAAGCATGACACGGTGGTTTTCGATGATGTTGTCTGCAATATGCACCCTGCAGAAGTAAAGTCCTCCATCCTCCTCCTTCACCTTGTTAATCTGGAGGCTGTAATCCCCTCGAACGAAGCCAGTGTGGGGGCATCGCACTCGTTGAATCCCGTTCTCCACCCAGTTCGAGCCCCAGTACTGCAGACCGCTTTTTTGCTTCCTCCAAACGGTGCTGTGTGGCAACAAACATCCAGAGACACGGGGTCAGGCAGGGTTTGTGGAGAGGAGGTTTTTCATAKGGCCGGACAGGGAATCAGAAGAAGAGAGTGAGGGTATAAGTGGCTTCTTACCCTTTCTTGTCTTTGCTCCATGTGATGGCAGCAGGATCGCAGCTTGTCGTTGTACATTTGCAGGGTAGCACGGCCTGAGATCCTGCCTCAACAAGTACCTCTTTCATTCCACATCTTACTTCTAGAAAAGAAATACATAAAATCAGTTTAAAAAACAAATTCATAAACACTTTTTTAAAAAAATTGAAGTTAAATTGTTTAGAAATTACCTGACATAAGAAGGAGAATCCCTCCAAAGATGATAACCTTTACCAACATCCTTATTTTAAAACTTCAATTTAAATAGGTCCTCTGTTGTTTTATTTTTTTTCTCCTCCTGAAGGCTGCTGTTCTCCTTCAGTGAAGAGCTCGATGGTGTGCTTTCTTCTGTCTGAGGTTCTGAGGTTTATAAACGAGGCCGTGGGTGAGGATGGAGGTGGTGTGCTGGGTAGTTCCTCTGCTGGTCACGTGACTTCAGCTGCAAGCCAGACTTTGATGCGGCCTTGTTTGTCAGCCTGGAAACTGTAAGGCAGAGAAGTAAACAGGGAGTCCCACTTCCTCCCACGGATTCTCTTTACTTTTATCGGTTTTCTTCATTTTCTGAGTCAAATCTCCTTCAGAACAGAATGAGATGATATTCCTTTTGATGAAAAAAATATATCATTTTCAGAGGATAAACATAGATTTGAATGATGCAAAAGAAGGAAAATGTTTCTTTGTTTACTACAATAAAAATATTTTTTGATCATACATTTTGATGCCAAATGAATATTGATCTTTTAAAGCATTTTCACACATCCTTTCTTGTTTACAAATATTGTCAGTCTCATTCAAGGAATCTCTGGTTGTTGTTTTGAAACCGAAATGGCAAACTTGCAACACCAAACCACCTCGTCACTCATTGTTTATCACTGCCAGTCATTTGCGTTCGCAAAGATTGGTTAAGGACAGCGTGGAGGCAGGACTTCAGCAGCTGCCTGAGAACCAGCTCAGTATTACCGCCATTTCTGGCTCTGATGTATWTTCATGAACGTGAATCATCAGCTCCATTCTCATTTCTTTACTTTCCTTTTCGTCAATTCAAGTGTCGCAGAACAGAAACAGGCCTACACGGCTGAGCACAAGTTTTACGTCAGCCAGAAGGATTGCAGTTTACTGTAGTCGTTGATTTTATTACAATAAATGAAAATATGTAAGTTTGGGTTGTGTTGTTTAGTCAGCAAATGTCTGATATTGTTGATGTTTCAGTTCCGTTTCTGGTTAAGTAAGTAAGTAAGTAAATAAAGTTTTATTTATAAAGCGCCTTTCACAGAAATATATTCACAAGGCGCTGTACAATCATCAACAATGGCAGAACGACAAAATAAAATATAATAAAACATAATAAAACATAAACAACATAATGAAACATCAAAACAAGAAGAATAAATTCTAAATTGTAACTCAGACACACGGTCGAGGCAGAGCATGACAAGAGGTGAGTGTTATGTGTGCAAGACTGTACAAACCATAATAAGAAAAATTGTTGAATAAAAAAGGGGGTTTGAAATTTATGCCATATATGGTTAAATATTACGGTGAACTGAATCACAAAATGAAACCATGGATCCAAAGATTACTCAAAATAACTAGATTTTTATTTTTGTTATAAAGTTTTTGTGTTGTCTTAAAGTAGGTCTCCAGCTCTCACTGGAGAGGTTTGCARCTAAGTTTGAAGTGGCTGAGATGAAGATCAGTACCTTCAAATCTGAGACCATGGTCTTCTGCTGGAAAAAGGTGGACTAAGTTTGGGAGGAGGTTAAAATCTCAGGGTTTCATTCATGAGTGAGGGAAGAAAGGGCGTAATCGACAGATGAATTGATGCAGCTTCTGCAGTATCACTCTAGCTGAGCTGCAAGACCAGGCTTTCTTTTTACTGGTTGAGGCACCTTCTTACCCTCACTTTGGTGACCAAAAGAGATGGGTGGCTGTGGTGGAGTGGTTAGGGCAGCTGTGGCTACAATGTAGCTTACCATCATCAGTGTATGAATGGGTAAATGTCTGTAAGTGTAAAGCGCTTTGGGGTCCRGAGGAACTTGATAAAGCGCTCTATAAGTTCAGTCCATTTACCATTTACCATGGGGCAGAGATAGGGTGAGAAGTTCAGTTATCCAAGAAAAACTCAGAGTAGAGCTGCTGGTCCTCTACATCGAGAAGAACCAGTTGAAGTGGTTCAGGCATCTGTGAAGGATGCCCCCTGGACGCCTCCCTAGGAAGGTGTTCCTGTCACTTCCTGGCAAGTCCAACTGGGAGGAGACCCTGAACACAGTTAAGAGACCATGTCTCTTGGCTGGCCTAGGGGCACCTTAGAATCCACTTGGAAAGAGATGTTTGGCCCTCTGAAGGTGATGGATGGATGGATGGATGGATGGATGGATGGATGGATGGATGGATGGATGGATGGATGGATGGATGATGGATGGATGGATGGATGGATG